TTTGTGTAATATTTAAATTTGTTTGATGATCTGAAACATTAAAGTGTGACAAACATGCAAAAAAATAAGAAATAAGGAAGGGGGCCAACACTTTTTCACACCACTGTATCTTCATTTACAGACATTAAATATATCTATAGAGAGTGAAATGTCTACTTTCAAATGAACCAATTCAAATGAAAACAAATTCTCAGATTATGTAATCCATATGCATACAGACGCATCCACTCTTGTTTTCATCTCTTAATCCAAAAACAAAGAAAGCACTAGTTTATCAAATTATTAAAATGTTAATGCAGTCTCCTTACTGTTTTTCCCTGACACATTCATTATCATTATTTCTGCTGGTGTGCTGTGGCAAGCTTTATGCGTGTTTGAGCAAGCTACTTGAGCACTTATTAGGCTTTGTAGGCAATTAAAGGTTCATTATAATGATTTAAATGGTTTATTAACAGGAACGGCTACAGCAACATCTTGCCAATATACAAACAAGAACGAGCATTACTATAAAGGCTAAAACACACTACACGCGTAATCAACCATCACCTACCTCAACTACTGTGACACTGAAGACCGGACGAGGGGCGGGTATGACAGAGGCTACGTTCTAATGCTTCCTGTCCAGACATTTAAATACTCTGACATTAATTATCCCTATTGCTCACTCCCATAAAGGGACAACCACCCGAAGAAGGGAAGCCCATCCCACACTGCCACATAGGCCTACAGATAGGCTATGCTTATTTGCATCGTTGCATGTGTCATTATACTATTAACATTTCACCAAAATCAAGTTCAAATATGAAGTTTTTGACCAGCGAATGTTTTTTTCCAGTCATTACCGCCACATCAGAGGCAGTACTTACATCACATTTACGTTTTCACGAACTTGCAGGGTATACCGTTTTCTGTCGCTACGTGGGCACTCAGTTTTTTCTGTTATTTGGCCACAATATCATATTATAAAAGATTCAGCGCTTCACACAAACTATTTGGCTGTGACTCGACAACAAATGTTAGACTAAGACACTCTTCTCAGCTCCTCAAATACAAAAAACATTAGCCTTTATAAATATAGTGTTCCTTGTGTAAAGAAAACGCTGTACTTATGCAATCAACAGTTCTTTATTTACATTCAAACTGCAAACAAGCTGAGATGCTACAAACTGCACGCCACAGTTCATTCACGAGAGAGGCGGGAGGAATAATGAGAATTGACTGACAGTTTGAGGAGCCAATGGAGTTACGAGGGTTCGAGGCGGTGGCGTCACTTACTGATGATCCAGGATAAGTGGTCCTTAGCAGTTATGGTTCCGATTTGAGCTTGAGATTCAGAAATACTTTGGAGAATGTAGCTGTTGTTGACACTACTGCGCAGTGAAAATGCAGTTAAGCTAGTAGCGTCACTACTTGTAGCAACGCTACTGCCCAACACTGGCTGCGTCACCCTGTGGTAGAAACCGGAAGGCCTACTGGCGAGCACACGTCGGCACACCGCCCACGTGCCTCCCTCTCTCCTGGCCCATCCCCCCCAGTGGCGTATGCTGAGGCGGGCTTCCATCCCCCCTCTGGCGCTGAGGACCTGGTATAATTTGGGGCCCCAGATGAAGAAAATGAGGAGGCCATGTCAACCGCGGCATCTGACTCGGTTG